TGCTTTAATTGGTGTGTCTTGCTGCTGTGTGACCTCAGGCAGGAAACTCTGCCTCTGACTCTAAACCAGGGGTGCGTGAACCTCAGATCGCCAGCTGCTGTCCTGTGTCTCCTGCCCCCCACTTGTCTAGATCAGCAAGCATCTCTTACCAGGAAAGCATTGAAGGCCTTTAGATCTGACCCCTGGGGAACAGGCTACGGACAACATTCAGAATGCTGCTTGGGTACCACTGAACATACCTCTGGGTCTGGGGACTCACATTCTTCCGCCACTGCAGCTCCCAACACTATAGCCTGCCCCCGCCAGGTTCTGGAAGCTGAGCGGTAATTAGGGAAGAGTCTGAGAGCCAGTACTTTCTCTTCCCTCCGGCAATTGGAGGACGGAACTCATTAAAATGCAAATCGGGGCTGAGCCTTAGGTGGCTCCACCTCTCCCGGGCATCTTGACTTGTCTTCCGCGAGGAGCCCTGGGCTGCTTTGTTCTGGTCCAGCGCTGCCAGAGAATACCACCCCGGCAATCCTGTGCAAAGCCCGGCTGAATCCCAGCCAGGCTGAATCAGGATTAAAGGATTGGCTCCATAGAGAGAAATTAAGCGTCATGAGCTGAGCAGTTCACAGCTCCGCTGATAAGGAGGATCAGCCTGAATAACACCAATCTCATTAAGAGGCTGCTGAATGGCACAGGGTAACTCGTGCCAATAAAATTCCTTTCTGTGTTGTAGGAAAACCTGTCTTGCCCTGGTGACAGGACTGGCTTTGGCAGTAAGGGTACTAAATAAAGACGGCAAACATTTAGTGGGTGGGTGCTTACTGTGTGTGTCAGGTGTGGTATGTGTAGCCTCACAGAGGTTATTTCATCTTATTTTTCCAAACGAACCTAGAAGCTAGTTACATTTTTCATCCCCATTCTGTAGATGAAGAAATTCGGGCCCAGAGCGTTGAAGTAATTCAGTGTCCCACCCCACAGCTATGGCAAAGTTGGGTTCAAATCCCCTTACTCTAGTGGAAGAAGTCAGCAAGAAAAGCTGTTTGTTTTTCTTGTAAAAGTTGTTTTCTCTTCCTAAGTGTAAGATCTGTCTGTTAACAGAAATGCGTCCTCAGCATTGGGAAAAAATTAGAAAATGAAGCCTCCTCCATAATCTCACTACTCAAAGCTAACTACTATTGTAATTTAATGGGTTTCTTTGTAGCCCGTTTTTTTCCCAAGAATTATTTTATTTATTTATTTATTTATTTATTTATTTATTTA